AGGTTCGGCAAGGAATAGTGGGAAATTAGCCAAAAGCTTCGCTTTGAAAAAAATCTATCGGTATAGATTATGTGTGGGGATGTCTTCTGCGCAATGTATCTATTGTGGTATAGATCTTTTTTGTATTCCGTTGTGTTCTTTATCTTTGATTTTGACTCAGAATTAATTGATCTATATTATTTCAATGCCGACATTGTTTTCGAATATTAGCAAGGGGGAACAAACTGATTTCAATTTCAGAAATCAGTTTGAAATCACACGAAATCGCATGAAATCATGCGAGATCACTTGCAATCATTTGGAATCAGCGTGATCGGGAAATCAGTATGTTCTCTCTTATTACTGTATGGAAGAATAGATTTTCTATTACTCCGCTCTTTCAATATTCTTTAGGAACAAATGTGGTTTTAGTTCCCTTTTCTTCACGCAAGAGGAAATACCATTTGATAAATTAAAACCTTGAAATATGGAATTCATATTTTCTAGTTATTCAAAAATATTCTACTAGGAATGCAATAAATCTTGCATAAGATCTGATATTTAACTTCTCGATTGAGATATGGTTTGAGCTTATTCTCTAGATATAAATTTTATTTTAAGATGAGCTTGATGGTTGCAGACATTGTTTGATTCTATTTAAATATGGGATTTGGACTAACACTTGGAGTTTGGTTTCAATCTAGCATGACTTCAACCTTGTAGTCGCGTTACACTGAAAAGCAAACGGCAACCCAAGGGGGAAAACAGCGAGACTCTCGGAGTGCAGACTCCATTTAGATTCCACTTGTACCCCACCTAGACTTCAATTGAACTCTACTATATGGCATTTTTTGTTCTACGATAGTCGCTTAGAAACTTGTTTCTAATGAGCATGTGAGATTTTTAGCTCAGCTTTCACAATTCGAAGCATTGAGCCACTTCAGCTCTGAAAAAATCAGGCGCTCAAGTCATAGTATTGTCAAATACCCCTAGAATCTCAAGTACCATTTTAGGAAGGTGTTTTCAGATATTCAAATGGTATTACAAAGGATTCTATTAGGTGCACAATAGTCCCATCAGATACTTGTTTAGATTTTTTATATCATCTTTTGTTGAGACCAGTAGTGCTAATCGAGAAGTATGCTGAGACTGAGTCGTTCTCAAAACGATTGAGCTGGTCGCTGCTATGTTTCGGGGTACGACATTGGGTCCATGGTCTTTATGCAACATGGTTCAGCGCGTATCATTAGGACTCTTCCATCGGGTCCTTTAACTATCGCGTTGGCCATGTGTACGAAGCTTTTCACTTGATGTTGTGATGTAGAGCGAGATATTTGAGGGTACCGTATGGCGTGATCTAGGGAATCGGTTTCAATGACATTAGTTGCAAGTATTTGTTTCCTTCTGATACCCTCTGGATAAGATTTGATAGGAAAGGGTAGAAATTGGCCATGACCTTATGTTAAGGACGAAAAGGAAGAGTCCCACACTTATCTGTACTTCACTGAGTAGGTGTGCAACAAATCTCCAAGAGATTTGAGATTCGCATTTGGATCTGGGTTTGGTTTCCGAAATTTGGAATTTGGTCTAGATTTGGTTGTAGACATAAATCTTGCTTGAATTTGGACTGCGGCTATCATTTGGACTCGATTCGGACTGTAACTAAGAATTTCAACCATATTTTGATTTGGAATTGGGGGTTTGGATTTGGATTTGGGATTTGGTTACAATCTAGCATGGCTCTAAATTTTCGTTTCTGATAGAAATAAACCAAATCTGAACACCAAATCCAAACCTACGACCCTAATCCAAATCTCAAACCCAAATCTAAACCAAGTCCAAGTCATGTCATATCAATTAACATGATTTAGGATTCTTTTCTCTCTTCTGGGATGTTATCTTACAAATCCACATCATTTTTGTGTAATTGGACACCAAACCCAAACCGAATTCCAAATTTAAATCCCAGTCCAGAACAAATCTAAATCTCCTTGTATCAAATCCCAAGGCTTTGGATTTGTTGCACCTCTACCACTGAGCTTCGAAGAAATGGTGAATACATCCATTCCAACTTTTTTTTTAGATTAGCAGCACTTCTCTAGGGTAGTACTCTTGTACCTGAATTGCAGCCTCGAACGCACAAGTAAATCAGTTGTTAAAGCAAGGGAGGAAAGTGGGTCCCGAGATCAAAGCATCCCGTAGATTCCAATGCATCCCAACGGATCTCAATGGATTCGCTTTTCCCCCTTGTGTTAAAGCTCATATACTCACGCGTATCCCATTTTATAAAAATTTTGGAGTATAATGAATCTTTGAACAATGACTTCTAAAGAACTTTCTGGGCAGAAATCCAAATAGTATACCGGAACACTGACCCATGGAAGTGTTGATATGGTCCACAAGTTCCAAGCACATCTGTGACCCAACTATGGATGTGCATCAGAATACGCTTGTGTACAGCAGTCCTACTTTCGCATCTTATCCGCCACTCTTAAAGAAGAACCTATCACACGTTGATGTTCGAAAACGGCGGTAAGCATATTTCACGCATCTAACAGCATTTTGCTTCCATTTCTTACCTCTCACAAAAACTTTTAAACAAAAAAAACTAGCATATTTGCGTTGTGAAACACCACAACGCTAAAAAGTGGCTAGATTAGTCTCTGTTATAAAAACCCAGAGAGAGGTGACTTCAAAAGAACACAGCATATAGCGATCAATATAAAGGCAATGTTTTTATCTTTATCACATAAGCCTATACGAGATAACATAAATCAAATAAAAAATGTTCTTTGTCAAAAATATCAGTTTCTCAGTGAAAACACTTTTCAAAAACTCCTGAAACCAAAAGAAAAATCTAGAAATCCTTCATCAGAAAACTCTTTACTACTCAATCTGAGGAAAGCAATGACCATATCAGTACACGCTGCCTTCTCCATTGTCTATCGGCAACCTCCAATATTCCAAATCATTCAGATGGTGCACAATGCTATCACACCAAAAACATTCACGCTTTCTTGGTCTGTCTAGAAAGCCTCATCACCATTTACCAATAACTCCAAAGGACAGCATCTAAGAACCTAATTGTACTCGCATACGGCAATTCTTGGAGACCTAAGGGTACCCCCTTATAATAGTACATGAGGACTCGAAGATATCCCGTATAATATTACTTGATGATCTGAAGGTTCTTCCCTATAACAGCAATGGAAGTTGACTCGCGCTACACTCGAATGTACTGCAGGTAGAGTCCAGGTTGACTCCGCCGAGACTCAAAATTTCGTTATGAATACGGTGAATCTCACCTTCTCCCCCTTGCAGTCACCTCATATCGAAATCTATACCAAAGCCAAACTATTTAATATGGATTGATAAGACTTGAGAATATTTTCTCACTTACTTGGGCTTTATCTTACGAAGACACATCAGATTTGGGTAATTGAGAATCAACCGAAACCCATTTTCAAATTGCTTTTTAGGGTTTTTAGATAAAATCTGAGTCAAGTTATACGAAGTCCTCAGGATTTGGATTTGATGCACTTCTAGGAATATCGTAGAGTGATTTGACATAATTGTCTACATTTAGGGACTCCTCGATGAGACGTTAAGAAGCTACAATGGGTATGATGAGGGGTAGAAAATTTGAAATCGTCACTTTTTGTTCGTTTGGTTCAATTCTTGGGACCACTATGATCATCGCATGTCAAACCCGTGAAGAATTCGCCGCATCGAATGTTTGTTTTCAAGCCTTTAGACATATTTCGATTACACAAAGCCGATTGAAGATCTGGGTACTCATGAAGAACAAATCTCTCAGAAACTTTCTTCTGAGTGCTAAAAACAACTGCAAGTACTCGAAACTCGTAGAAATCTCATGTACTCGTTAAGGGAAGATGTATAGGAAATTTGTGTTTGACTGCTCACGAGAGAAGGCTTAGGACTGATCAATCACTTTTTAATTTTAGTGTTGACAATTTGTAGAGTTTGTTGAGTTATTAACTGATATAATAACCATTCGGGCCAACAGCGCATCTAAGAGTAAATTTTAGATAATCAAGTTTTGCATTAGCCCATTATACCATATGGGGTCAAAGAACAAAAGGAGTGGGGTGATGATTGACATTTGAGTTTTGACTTTAGCACAGACACACAGATACTCACCGTGCAATATCACTGTGCACGGGTCTATCGCTAGTTAATGATAATGATATGACTCATAAAAATGATGAAAACATGAAACTCTTTTACAATTAAGAAACGCACATTTTATAAATGAGCTTTCTTCACACACACACACGCCAGGTCAAGCTAATATTATAAAAGCAATTTTCATTGACAGTTTGACATGTTTCATAGTTCTCTGAAAAATAACCAGCTTTTATCCAAGCATATTTCCACATAGGTATGAATACATTTGATGTTAATTGATTGTAAATTAGTGACTGTAACTTTGTTATTCCATTGCGTAATCTCAAATCGTAATTCAATTTATCAAGAGCTACTCTATTGTAACATCTCTTTGCAAAATTTTTCCATTGTCTGAATACAAATACATCCAAAGGTTGATGTGTTAATGTAAATTTTTGTGGAACCTGTAATCTTATAGAATCTTTTTGAAAGTATTGATTAAACTTATCTTTCTGGAATTTGACCACAAAGGTGTCATGAATAAATGCAATTTTTGATAAATTTTTCTTTAATATTTCATCATAGTAGACATTCAAAATAGAGGTATTTACTTTACGAGAATTGGAGCACAGTACTAATAATTTTTCGGTTCAAATAAACTTTTTTTAAGATTGTCACCGAAACTGCGCTTAGACTTCTGTAATGCTAGTAAACATTTGCCGATAAAATTGCCGTTGGAGTTGAAAGGTTGGTTGTATAGTATAACTATGAGAAATTGCATTTAAAGAATTAACACTACATATGTGTCTTTTTCACCCATAAAGTTCAATAGTCTGTTAGAGGGCAATTCGTGATTAAATCTACTTTGGTCACGGTTTACAATTATACTTCGGTCAAAATTCACGAATTTTTTTAGATGCATGTTTTACAAAATCACGACCTTGTTGCATTATTTTGTCATTATCTATTTCATAGTTTGATGAAATAACTTTTGTGATTTTACGTGAAGAAATATTCCTACAAACTTTGAACTGTCTGATCCAGTTGTCGCTTGCAGTAAAATTTCCTAATTTAATTTCTTTTGATTTTTGTAAACTCCATCTTTTAAGATCTTTATCATTAATTGGCAAATATTTGCTTCTTGCTAAATGAAACCTTTTCCAAACAAAATCTTTAATCAATTCATATTTCTGAAAATCAGTACCGCCTTTTGCAATATATCTTCTTGTACGTGATACTTCTGTTGAGTTATTTAATTTTTTATAATGTTGCTTTAATGAATTGAAACTCATTTTTTCACCTTTATTGGCGAGTTTTTGCAATTGCTCCCAACTACGTATATTTACATTTGTTTGAATGTTTGCAATCTTCAAAATCATCTTCACTTTCCGATGTATTATCATGGTCACCTTCAGATGTATTTTCATCTTCACTTAAATCGAGTCTGTGTTCGATATAAATTATTAAATTATAACTTGAAATAATTTCTTCAAAAAGGGTAATTAGTTGATATACTTTTTCATTTTCAGCATTCTTTATTTAAATATTCTTCTTTTAAATTGTATTTTTGTTGGACTCTTTTAAAAAAACCTGTTAGCGCAATTCCTATGGGATTAAAATGTGAAACACGATGTAGTTGTTGCTACTAATAATCTAGAAACTGTTTCGTTCAATCTATGTTTTGATATAGTAGTTCACAACTCTTTAGTTAGTCCTCTAGAACTGCAATGAAGGTGTATCTCATCTATTCTAATGAGATCTTACTTATATATGGTCATTAATCTTATATTAGTTAAGTTTCTCATGGTCCGTAATTGTCTCTAGAGACCACCTATCACGACTGTGATCCTCTAGAGCCCGTCTGTCACGGTCTACATGGGGGTGGGAGTCCGGGGGGACGCAATTTCTACCCTATATACTTCAACGCTCCTTTTAGATCGTGTTTCACAAAATGATATGCTATAGTTACATGATTCATTTTAAGTCTTATAATTGAACTATGTTCATAAAGGAGTTCTGTTTTTGTTGATAAATACTATTTGTTTACTATATTTAATAAACAATATATATATATATATATATATATAGAGAGAGAGAGAGAGAGAGAGAGAAAGAGACAAATGCACCTAAACGTACTTTTATGCACTCACGCATGACAACAGAACGAAAGAGGATATACATGAAATATATATACATGGTGTCATGACAACAGAAAAAGGGAGATGATGCACAAATGATGACGCCACCTGACACTATTAAGTGCTAGCGATAGACTGATTCAAAATAATATTTTAGGCTGAGTGTCTGTGTGTCTGTGCTAAAGTCAAAACTCAAAGGTTAACCACCACCCAACTCGTGTTGACCTTTGATCCCATATGGTATGATAGGCTAATGCAAACTTTGATTATCAGAAATTTACTCTTAGATGCACTGTTGGCCCGAATGATTATTATATCAGTTAATAACTCAACAAGCTCTGCAAATTGGCAATACTAAAATTAAAAAAGTGATTGATCAGTCTTAAGCCTTCTCTCGTGAGTTATTCTTTTGATCTGTCAAATCAGATAAGGAGACTTCGGCACATATCAAGAGTAATTTATGAAACAGTTGTTGAATCATCAACAAAATGATTCAACAATCCGTTTGACTAATATTTTACACTTTACACAGTAAAGTTAACTGACTGTATCGCAAGTTCACGACAGCACACGAATGTTTTTGAATCAATATACAGCAATTATATTTATTAATCAATGCACAAGGTGGCCTTATCCATAGTATCCAAGATAATAAAACCATTAAAAGAAAATCGTTGTATAATACTTTTATGCATGTAAAAAAGGCTAAATTTTTGTATTTCAGTTACATGTGATAGCTTAGAAGGATAGTTTTGAACTTTGCTCGTATGAATAAAAACTTCATGGATGGACATATCTTTTAAAAATAAATAATTGATAAAGCTCAATCAAATAATAAATATTGATGAAAAAGCTTTTAGGAGGGGACTTTTGAGACACACGGTACATGCTGAAATCTCCAGTAAGTAGATCAACGCTTCTAGATAATGACCTAATTCTTTCTACATATGGATCAATACAGAGTTCTTTCTTAGCAAAATATAACTATATTACATAGATACTTGACTGTCATAACAGATTATGGTGGTTTATGAGTGAAATTCGGGGACCATAGAGAAAAATAGCAAGCATATCTTGTATGGGAATAAGCGATAATATCAGAATGAAAAAGAAAAATAGAAAACACCAATACATATCAGTCATTTTATCACTCACATTGATGAAAAGTACATGTTTTCAGAGCAGAATGGTTCTTCAACACATTCGCGAAGTATTGCGCAAAATAAATCGATATGTTACAACATTGAATCTATTTCCATCCATTCCCCCGACGACTGATCAATACAAACTTCGAACCCAAAAGATCTCGACATATGTTTTTATTGTTTTACTACTCTTGTCATTGGCTATTTTCATTTTTTATACATCAGTAACTACTTTCACTAAGACATTTACTGACAAAGAGACAACTCTGAACAAATATTCAGAGCTACACACGAAATATGCACAAACCCTTACTTGTCCATGTACAAACATAGCAATAGACTATGGTAAGTTTTTACAAGCCGAATACATTATGCATCAAGTGTGTTCAAGCACATTTGTCACGGATTATTGGATACATTATCTCCAGAAATTACGGCAGAGTCCTTGGCTGAAAATGAATGACTTTCGAAAGATAGGTTCATCTATATTTCAAACTCTAAAGTCATCATGCAAACAAGTGAACGATACGATTGTGCAGAGTCTTTCTCATTTCTATACTGGTCAATATGTAAGCATTGACTTGACACCATCCAAATTGTTTCAATCACGAGCTAAATTAATCTTTAATCAATATCAGTCTTCAACGAAAGATCAATACTTGTCCTCGTTGGGTATTGTGCGTGAAATTACTCAAGCCAACGCATTATTTTCATATTTAGAAACAAATACTAAGTTCTATGTTCCAAATGACAAAGAAATTTCTAGAGCATTGCCCATGTACTATGGTAATTGTTCATGCTCTAGCAATCCATCATGCACTTCGCCAATTGGTTTCTACTCACAACTAAGCTCACAAGCTTTGTTTACGGTTCCATGGATGTATATTGGATGTTATGTTTTCGAAGCACTTCTACAATCGAATTTTCAATGCTTCTATAACCAAACATGCTTTGAAAAGTTGATCTCACTGATGTCCATGAACGAACCATTCAATGGTACAGTAATGAACGCATCTCTGCCATCCCGCTTCTCTTCTACCACTCCTGTCAGTAAAATACTGGAGAATTTAATGGTAGAAAATTGGACCTGGTCAGTTACATATGAAAAGTATTTTAATGAATGTCATCCTATCGAATGCATCTACATGGTTAGAGTAAGAAATGATGCAATCTACGTAGTGACCACAGCGATTGGTCTAATCGGTGGTCTTGTGACAGCTTTGAAATGGATTGTACCACGACTCATAAGTCTGCTGAGACGGAAGAAGGTAAACCGAAGCGGAAATAATGGTAAGATATATTTTCATTACTTGGATTAGATGTTAAGAAATCGATTTTATCACAAGACACAAAAGGATATTTTCATGGGCTACAGTGTTAGCTTCAAACGATATTCTATTTTTTTCAGCTTTTGTCTTCTTCTTTCGCTTTTCTAACAATCAACACGACACTGATATACTACATTCATCAAGATAGTTCTCATTTGTTTATCAAGACTCCTTTCATGCGGACCCAGGTCAAGCATTACGGTGACCGTAGAGAGCCGCATACGGTCATATGCGATACAGTTACGGTCGTAAACATCGCCGTTTCCGACTGTATCTGAGCGTAACGCATCGTAAGGGTATGGGCGTTGGTGTGGGGTGTGATGATTGCTCTTTGTTCTAATCGAAACCTACATCCACCCTCAAAGCGCTTTTTCAGGAAAATCCTTTTTTCCACTCCAATTCTTCATAAAACCACTCGTAACTTACCGAAAGTCTTCAGAAGGGCTTGATCCAGTGTTTTTCATGAAAAATGGTCTAATTTCAAGATTTTCCGAAAAATGCCTTTAAAAAAGTTTTGAGCAGTTCCATAGATATGCAAATGTAAGCGCATGGTTTATGTTATACGGCAGCAGGACGTGAATGTTTATAACCATTTACGATGAAGTACGATAAGTGTAAAATAAAGTTTTTACAACTGACGTTTACGGTGAAAAACGATAATAACTGAGCTTCGTTTACAATCGCTGTATTTTTACTGTAGCTGTAAACGATGAGTGTTTGCGTTATCAGTTCAGGGTGGCTGTTAAATGTCGTAAAGTACCGTTTACGATAGTAGTAAACAGCCGCCGAAAGCAGTTGCCGTTTTGCACCGCTATTGATCAGTCTACGGCCATTTACGGTAGTGCATGATTGACCTGGGACACTAGAAGTGTCAGTTTCTGTTATCATTCTCGAAGGCCAGAAGTCATTTCGTATTTTTGAGAATGGGAGTCTATAGTTATATGCATGTATCCATTCCTGTTAGAGACATGACAATCCTAGCATGATAACGGAGTATTTGTTAATATTCGAATTAATCAGCCTGACCTTTTTAAGCAAACAGTCGTCTGGTTCGTAATTTTTTCTTCGAAAACTTAACTGTTTTACACTTAAAGTAGTTTTGCGACCCCAAAACACTTGATTTATCTTTATCGGGTTTGAACTCGGATTCGTTTCTAATCACATTTTTCGAGTTTATTCTCAAAAAGCGATGTTAACATTTTGTGTGCCGGTGTCCTAGGTATATCGTTGAAAAAGTTCTTTTTTTTTCAAACGTTTAGAGCAATGTATATTCGTAGATTTTGAGGTGTTAAGCATAAATATGTAGGCTTTGCATGTGAGTCGTAGTATTGGACAAGCAGTGTCAATGGTGTTGTGTACTAGAGTGAAGAAACGAATGACCTCCGTAGGACTCAAGCCCACACATTCTACTATCTAGACAGTAGTCCAAGATCAAAATTAGACTGGCAGGCGCATCTGAGTCCCCTTTTAGTGCCAATATCAATACGTACAGTTTAGGCATGAATGTTAATGTATAAATTTGTATATGATGTGGATGCGAATGAGGATGAAACTGCTGTTTTACATGTGACTATACCAAAATATCATAGGGATAGATAAATCCTGAAGAAATAAATAAGCCCCATAGAAACAATAAATCTTCCAAAAAGCCTCGATAGCTCGTCTTCGTTGTGAGTAATGTCGACGATGATAACTCTAAAGACCTGTCCTAAACGTTTCAATGTTTGTTTCCAGCACAATTTGACAAGCTCTATCGATTGGTATGCTT